AACCTGTCCAGAGAGTTGCTGTAGGTTTTCACCCGATGCCCATATGGTAGTGTCATCAGCAAACAAAACCACTTTCACTAAATCAGAAACCTTGCATATATCATTAATGTATAGTATAAATAATTTAGGTCCCAAAACTGAACCCTGAGGCACTCCACATACAATATCCAGCTCACTCGATTGGTATTCACCCAACTTCACAAATTGACGCCTCTGTGTCAAATAAGATGCACAAACAGCCGAGGCCCAAACCGACTCTAGCATGAACCACAATTATTTTAGCCTAACGCTGTCACATAAGAACAACAAGTATACAAAACATAATGCTAATGCCATGTTGGTATTTTCCAGCTAAAGCCGAAATAGACCTAGACACTGTTAAAGGTTTTGTCCACACTGGCTTTGAATTAGTCCAGTTTTTGGAGTTATTCGGTGTGTGATCTGAACTCTGTCCCCTGTCTAGGTGTTCAAAAAAAAAAAAAAGCTGAGTGAAAAGAAAGAAGCAAAAGAGCAAAGTGTTGCTCCTGGAACAGTGAGTGAAGCTGGTGAAAAATCAATGTCAGACTTCAGCAGTAACTGGATGGTACTTTAACTTAGTCCAGGCCTTAATGTAGAGATGCTTCACATCCATGTGTGTGAGCGACACACATCCAGCTCCAGTGTGAACACTGCTGAGCTCCTAAACTGGCACACAGGCACAGATTTCACTGAAACACCTGTTACATCAGGCCTGAGTCAGTTGGAGGGAAAACAGAGGACTTGTAATTTCTGTCATGGCCTTTGAGTTAAGGGCAGCTGGACTGTGGCAGGCTGTGGAGCCAGTTATAGCCTAGTATTTGTCCTGCTGTTGCATGACAGCAGTTGTGTATCCAGATACATGCCGTGAGTTTGGACACTTACCATGAGGTGATTAGGTACTGAGCCAGGTTGATGGCTATCGGCGTGCCGGTGATGGTGACGTGACGGTCACTCGTGCTGTCTATCTGACTGCCGATCTTGATCTGAGCCCCTGATACCTGCCGGATCTCACTGATCTTGGTGCCCTGGCGACCGATGATTGAGCCAATCAGCTGTGAGGAGGATCAGAGACAGAGGATTAGGATTAGAGAGTTTTAAAGGTGCAGGGTGTCGGTGCCGCATTTTGGGTTTTTTTCCATAAATGTTGCTGCTGTGACACGGCTGCCCCCCCGCCCTCGGGCACTTTGGCTACAAACCCAGTGACGGGTCTGTATTAATCTCTGTGCTTTCACATGTTTGTGCACTGCTTTACACGTGTACTTTAAACTTCTTAGCTTTGTATCACACAAGGTTATTCACTGGACCTGAACTGCTTACATGTCAATATAAAGTGGACAAGTGGGGGTGTTCTAAAACCTCTGACCGGTGGTGTATCATCCACTGAATACTTCTGGACACACACACACACACACACGTTTAACTACAGTGATGTCTCCAGGTTCAGTGCATCAGTAATGGTAAAGGAGGAAGTGGCCCCACAGTAACAGCTGCAGCAGGAGGAACATGACTAAGGACACCACTCTCTTTATGCCGCTTTATAATATTGTACTGTGTACTGCAGTACAGCTGTCGTTACTTTACAAATGAAGGTGTTTTGCACACACAAATGAAGACTTTATAAAATGTCTGGTTATAAACTACAGCTCAACAAGGACTCTACAAGTCCAGAAAGAATTTGACCATATTTTAAGAAAAGCCTCACTTTTTCTCCACACTGTAAACGTCTTAAACTTTAAAACCGTGAGCTCTTCTGACTTCACTGCACCCCCGTCCCACGTGAACCCGAACCTGCACCCGTTTCTCTCTCGTTTTTCAGCCTCTCCATCCACCCAAGCTTCTTCTCATCTTCTCATGTCTAAGAATATGAAATAGCAACAGGTGGTGCACTCTGACTCATCTTCCTGCCATGAGCTTAGTGTGGGTGCTATACTAGTCTCAGCGGGGGTTTGTCATGCTGTAGGTGTCACGGTAACAATAGACAGAGCGTTAGTGGCTTATCTCAGCCTCGGCTCAGACCATGAATGTGTCTCATTACCTCTTTTTTCTAAAAGGTAAACATGCGCTGACAGGCTGGTTTTAGCCTCCTGGCTCTCGCGCTGCATTTGGAGCCGAACTGCATAGTTTTCTCCCATCTATGCACAAATCAGAAAACTGATAATGGCAAAACTGAAGGATAAAAATAACAGCAAGGCAATCTGAGGACTGGGATCAAACAAGAGCCGGTGTCAGTTTCCTCTGACAACACAGTCGGTTTTAATGAGGCCGCAGCATAAAGCTCAACCTCCAGAGATCATTTGTTTCTCTGCGTCGAGAATGTGAAAAAACAAACAAATAGGTCCAATGTATGTAAAGGATTTAAATGTTTCAAGAGGAAGCAGCAGCAGAAATAATGAGGGAAATAACGTCAGTGTCAACGCCAGAGAGGGTGGAAATGTATCCAATAAAAAATGACAGTATGTTCTACTGATCCCCGTAAGGGAAGTTTGGTGTGAAGAGTCGCTACACAGAAGTCTAATTAACCCTCACTGTGGCTCATTAGCCTGAAATTTATCACTTTAAGGGACATGGCATTAAATGACTTTATCAGTTACACTTAATTATTTGTTTACTTGTGAAGAAAATTAAGAAGTAATAATGTAATCGAACTTTGCCTCAGAGGGCAGTGATTCAGTTCAGATTAATGACTTGTAATAACATTTAATTCTTCTTCCATTTAATACATTTCCTTCTTGTAGTCACATTAAGTTAATATTTGATTTAAAAATTCAAACTTGTTTTCCTGTTGGAACAGTTAATTATGTCAGAGTAACTTGATGACCACAGGCAAACAAAGCCTGCCCTGCGTACACACTGGCTCTGAGCTCGAAGCTAAATCAGAGAAATCATCAGACACGTCTTCCCTGGTCTCACCAAGCCGTGAGCCACAGCACGAACCACAGGGCGCCGAGCGGCCGCAGTCACGTCGGACAGCTCCGACACCGAGCTGCGCTGGCAGTCACTCCCCTTCTCTCCCTTTACTATGGACAGTTTGACTGTTACAGCTGCTGGACAACTTGACAACAGGCAACATTATTTCACTGAAAACATTTGAGAACACAGTTGCACATGAGAGGACTCATCTGCAAACTAATGGTGTCCTGATGCCAAGTGGATTCATAGACAAAATGGTCACTGACCACCTGTCGCCAGTTATCATTCTGTTAGGAACACCTAGCTCAGGCTTGGTCCTACAGCAACTCCTCCTCCATCAAGGCGATAAGGTTCAGTTTGTGTTTCCAGTGGTGTTGGTTCAGCTGGCTGATCACATCTCCAGCCTCCAGAGTGACCGCGATCACCTTCATGAAGGAGGATCCACTGCAGGGTTAGACACACAGACACCACTCTGGGTTTCATGCCTCCACGCCGGCGACAGCCGTGGTCGGAGGTGTTTTTAGGTTGTCCATCCGTCATCTGTTCAGCGCAGTATCTCAGCAATGCCCTGAGGGAATTTCTTCAAATATGGCAAAAACATCCAGCTCAGCTAAAGGTAAACTGATCAGATTTTGGTGGTCAAAGGTCAAAGGGTAAGGTCACAGTGACCTCACATCTGCCTGGCAGAGGCATACAAGGCGAGTTGGTAATTCTAGTTTTGAATGTGTTTAGGTCCACGTCACTATCTAACACAGACTGTAGAGCAGGCTGGGGCCAGTGATAGGGCCAGGTGGTTTCAGAGGGGAGAACAGTTGTGGAACTGATTCTCCACTTGCCGTCCTATTGAACAAACCTGGGTACGAGATGAAGAACAAAAGACAAAGGTTCTGTTCTGCTTTAAGCGATATCTGAATGAAACCTCTCAGGTATAAACGTCGACACTGCAGTCGGCTTCTCTCAGCCTTCTGACTTCTGTCCATCTATGACAGAAGATTGTTCTTTCTTTCAAGGGGTTCTTTCTCGGCCCTCCACTGCGCTGCCCCCTTCTCTCCTATATAACCTCTATGTTTTCTCTTCTCTCCCTATTTCTGTCTCTCCGCACCACAAACATTCCTTTCCCCACAAGTCATTTGACCAACAGGCCCTGATGGAGATATGCACCCTGCTGTAGCGGGCTATTCGCAGAAAGGGCCCTGATAGTGTAAGTGTGTGTTGCTGTAATGCCACTGTGACAGACTGAAGACAAAGTGCCAGCTGACAACAACCAGATCAGGACAATTTGTGTGAAATCCTCCTTTAGCTGCTGCCTGACCTCACAAACAGTCTCCTGTGACCAGCAGAAAAACAGTCGCACAGTCAGGCGACTCCAGTCTTCAGCCATAATCCCAGATGGAACACACACCGTTACTTTAAGCCAATATGTTTTTACACACCTATAGTAAATGTAGGTAACTGGGTGGAACCAGTACTGTACAGAGGCTGCACTGACCTTAAATCTCTTTCGTTGTTCTTACCCCCGCCAAGAGCAGGGGCCATGTTTTGTTCACAGCACAACTCAAACAGTAACAGATGGATCTGGATGCTTCTTTTGGAGAGGTAGGGTACGGCCCACGGACCAGTCCATTCAGTTTAGTTGCTGATCGGGTTCATCATCCACATCCAGGAATTTTTTTTTACAGGACTGTGAGATAGGGTCAGTTTGAATACGTTTGCCTCTAACTACGTACACAATGCTGAGACACACTGCACGATAACATCCCCGTAAGATCTATCCCACACCAAAGTCTGATCTGGATCCAAGCCACGTTTATTTATTCACTGTTTTAGAGCCACTTCTTTTTCAGTGATTCTCTGACAAGAAGTCTAACAAATAACAAGGATCCTAAAACAGCCTCAAACTAAATTCAAAAGCTCATAGCTGAACAAGAGCCACCGAGTAACTGTGATTCATTTCAATAATAATCGATAGATTATCAAAACTAAACACCTCCATGTAAATCCACCACGCCCCTCATGTTTGGGAGCTTAGTGCAGGTAATGTGTTTCCTAAGACAACACAACAAACACCAACAAATTTGTACTCTGTAAACTGAATCAGTGTATCTAGCAAGTCCCAAAACAGTGAACCTGCAGTAAAATGTTCACTGACAACATGTTGGATTTACTACAACAGCCCATCTTGCACCACAGTGTCCACAAACAGCAAATGGAGCATGAAGGCAGAGACTGAGTTTCTCATGAGTAAACCGCGATAGAAAACGCACAGTGCAGTGGCCACTACAGTACAAAGCATTAAACTCATATCTCTACCGACTTTAACAGATTTAAATGTTGTCCATCACGTGGGACACCTGGTCTGCTGAACAGACCCGGCGAGACTCGGCGGTATGAACAGACCACTATCACAACTCCTCCTCCTCCAGATGTTATTTATGACCTGTTCATGTATTTGTTCAGTTTTCTGGTCTCGGGGTAGAGGGTGTTGGGCTTCTACAGACTGCACAGCCCTCTGAAACCATTCAGTCATTTTTATCGACGCATCTGAAACCGACTTGAGATGTTTAATCGTGAGTGGTGAAGCTACAAACCTACGTCACGACTTCATTCACTCGTTTACCGAGGGACAGCGATCCCAGTGGCCCTCACAGGGAAAACAAGGTCTGGCTGTTACGCCGTCTACAAGGCTGACTGCTTTTAGCACGATGCCCTACAGTGTGATGTGCACCCCTCTGAGCAGTTTCATGTAAGTGCTGTTGGGTAAAACCGGCTTGAAGCTGAGGGGGAGAGGAGGAAGAGGATGGGCGGAGGGCTATTTTTGGGCGATTCCCTGCTGCCCTTGTAATTTAGAAAGGTTTACTGGGAGGGAGCGAGGGAGAGAGTCAGACAGGGTTGTTGTTAAATCTCTAACTGTGAGCTATAGGATGTCATTAGGCTGCTCTGCTTGGCCCTGCTCACTGACTCACACACACAAACATCACAGGGTATTAAGCTTTTCTCTGCTCTTGGTGTTTCTGTCTCTGCTTCTCCTTTATTTCTCTCTCAGGCCAGCCATATGTGCACATTAGTGTGCGAGCTGTTCGCATGTTTCTTTGTGTGTATTCATGCTAAAACCACACAAACACATGAACAGAAGCTCTGCTGCCTTTAAACCGAAGCCTGATTTGTGTTGATTATCTTGTCAGAGCGGAGTCGCAGCGTTTCTGCTGAAAACATGACCTCGCGCTCGCCCGTCTGCCCTTTCCTGTGCTGCTAAGAAACTCATCCACAAAGAATCAGCGTGGCGACGTGTTAACTGAACACGACTGCATGAGTTCCTTTGGAGAATGAAGGAGAAAATGGCTGAGCTGCAGGAGAAACATCGATGTGAAAACCACCGACAATGAAGGCTCTGTATTCTTATAGCTTCTGAAGTGCACGGTGTGCATAAGGTTCGTGCTCACCTTCTCCTGACTGGAGTAATTTGTCCCCATACATTCGTTCTTTGTCTTTAAAACAGGTCTAGCTTCTTATTTAAAATCAAAGAGCACCGATTACTGGGTTAAACTGTATGTTGTGTATTTTTCCTTCACTTTAAGGGTTTTGTTTGGTTTCTACTTGGTGTGCTGCTATATTACTGTGTATTGGTTTGTTTTTCCTGTTTAGGAAGCCTCTTGAAAACGAGATGCCAAATCTCACGGGGCTTATCCTGATATAATAAATCTCACCCGTCTTTTGGAGACAGAAGCAGATTGGATTAAGCAGGTTCACTTGAATTTGACTTGTCTGATTCCAGACTTCTTAACCACTGCTCACATCTCTCCATTTTAGTTTGGGGTGGCTGTGGCTCACGAGGTCGGGCAAGTCGTCTTCTGACCAGCAAGTTGGTGGTCGACTCGCGGTCTCCCCGCAGACACTGAACCCCGAATTGCTCCCGGTGGTTCGACTGGCGCCAGTGTGCGGCAGCCTTGTCGTCATCGGTGTGTGAATGTGTGTGTGAAAGGGTGAATGGTGTATGATCTCCTGTAAAGTGCTTTGGCCAGTGAAACACACTGTGAGAAATGTGCTATATAAATACAGTCCATTTGACCGTTTTTCTCCTTTTTGTTTCTGTGGCCAAGCCAGAACACCCCAGTGCTGCCGAGGATCCTCCCTGTGGTCAGAGCAGTCTGCAGGCCCCGAGCTGGCAGCTGTATTTAACCCCCGCCGCTCTGTGGATGGAGGAGGAGTGATAGAGTCAAATGAGAGAGAGCAGGGGGAATACATCCTCTCAGTGTTAATGGGTAAAACACTTGCTCACAGCACTCTGTGACATTTTCACCACATTTCTGTGGATCATCGATGAACCACATCTAAACCTCTGTGTGGTAGATTTTATTAAACTATCACAACATCAGCTGGTTTGTTGTTGCCGTCTGAAGCCTGTAAACGGAGCTGGAAGGTGAACAGGAGTGAAGGCTGAGAGCCAGTCTTCCACTCTGGTCACCGGTACACGTGGTTAATACTGTCATAATAATGCAAGTACAGATACCTACGCCTTGTTTTGCTGGGGAGGAGCAGGGGAGAGCCACGTCTGTACCAAAGGTTACTGCTCTGACCTCCCGACAGTCAACGTGTCCATCAAATATCATGCGTCCTCGAGCGTGACCCTGAACTGTCTGCTTCACTGCCGGCATGTCGTTAGCTGCTCTACGGTCAAGCCGAGGGGAAACAGTTCCTAGGTGAGGTGAACACAGCACCTAGTAACTATTCTAGAGAAAACTGACGGAAGCTAACGAAGGACGAACCCAGCTGAATGTCTGAATACTGAGCCCGTTTTCTTGCACGTGAGCAAACCCACGTCACACCATGCAAAGTCATCAGCTCCTGTTCACACTACGCAGACGAACGTCAGCTGGGTTGACAAAGTCTGATTGGCAATTATGAGACGAGATCTGAAGTGACAGCGTGAGACACGGTTTCTAAACAGACGTCTGCCATCGTGTCAGAGATCAGGGTACTAGTTGTAAACAGTGAATAAGCTGAGTGTGTGTGACGTGATCTGGATGAGTAATGACTGTGGGAGCAGGTGGTGTGATGCTGTGTCAGCCGGATGACAGATCACGTGTGTATGTGGAAACAGTACTGCACATGTGTTCACATCTGGACTTACATCGTTTGGAATGAGGAGCTCCTGAGATGTGGTCTGGGAGGTGGCGTCCACCGCTCCTGACAGACAGTAGTGAAAGACACCCACTGTAATTCTGCACTTCAGTATCACTACACATTACAACCCATCGGCTTCTTTTCATTATTGACAGAAACAGTTACAGGAGACAAGCACACACACAGCACCAGGAGCAGTGAGGAGGAGGAGGAGGAGGAGGAGGTGAGGAAATGCCAAAAACTACACAACTAAGAACAGTCACAAATGCCAGAATGATTTTTGTATTTTCCTCTTTCTAAAGCAGCATGGTCTCTCTTTCTTTTATTCTTTCCTTCGTTCCATAATTATGCTTGAGAAGAGGCGGCTGTAGCCACCAGTAGGTGACAAGGTGCATACCATCAATATGTGCTACAGCCACGACGACAGCAGCACCAGTCTCAGATGGTGATATGAGGAGGTGGTGGGGGCAGACGCTGGAGGTCAAACTCCACCTTTATTGTTCTAACAATCACGACAAAGGTCCAGCACATGCTAACGGCCTACGGAGCTGGCGAGGAGGTGGAGTGGGGCCTGCTGACCCACGTCTATGGTCCTGATGACAAACTGCTAATGGCCACTTGATTTTGATGTTTGTGTGACCTGTTTGCTCAAAATGAGGCTTTTGTTTGTAGAAACATATCAAATCAATGAAAACGATGTAATAAACGTAACAGAAGCAGAACACAAAATAGAAAAATGTTAAATTATTTGAAAAAATAAAATGGAATTGAAACGCAGCAGCAATATAAACCAAGTGCTGCACCTTGGTTTTCACCTTTTAGCCACCGTTTCAGAGCTGCTTCACTGAAACATTCACAGACGAGGTCTGATGTGATGAGAGAGCTGCTCTGCCGGATGCTTCGGCTCAAAGTGATTACAATGCAGAGCTGCACACTAGAATCACGACTTCAGAACATTTATTATCTCATTTGGCACTAAAGGTTTCCCACAGGTTGGCATGACCGACGGGAATAACAGAACGACGGCGTCTTTTAAAAGACAATTCAGAGCCGGTCTGATAAAATTAATATGTTCCTACAAACGTCCCGTGTTTTTGATTGAGAGGATGATGAAAGTCGAGAAAATGACTTTCCCTCAAATTGAAATAAGGTTTTTGAATCAAACTTTTTCTGTAGTTTCTGTAGTTTGTGTAGTTTGTGTCAGAGGAGTCAACAAAACAACTGAAGAACTGGGACAACACAACTGAATGCGGATCAGCCAGCTGGCAGCCCAGCTGTGTGTGTGCGTACCAGGTAGAACCGACGTGGCTGGCTGGCTGATCGGGGCCAGGCCCTGCTGCTGCATCGACAGCTGGTGCAACTTTGCCAACTGAGAGAAGAACAGGGAAAGAAGAAGAGTAAAAACTGGAGACTAAACCCCAGTCATGTGATAACAGCCAAGTATTCACAGAGAATATCAGGCAGTAAAACTGTAGTTTTCTTTTACCTCTGAATGTGGAATGCCGTAGTGGCTCTGTACTGCGTATGTCTGAAAAGGAAAGAGAACAAGTGTCAATAAAGTCAGTGCGTGTAAACTTCCAATGTGATGGCGTAGGAGGGTGTGCTGAGTTCCAGTATCTAAGTCCAGCTCCTCGGACTGTGTCCTCCTAATCCCAGCTTTGTTCCCACCTTCACAGTTTCAGTTTGATTCATTTACTAACATCTGTCAAAATCAAGAGCAGCTAAGAGGCAGAATTATAAAAATGTTGGGGTGTTATTCTTCTAGATCTTTAATACAGATCCAGGAAGCCATCAAAACATCTCACTAATGTATTTTGATGAAAATAGATGGCATTTTTCATGTTTCTCATAGGGCCCATGAAATTATTTGAAAGATCTCAGGAAACCTGTCAGTTAAGGTCCAAACAAGCTAAAAATCTCTCTCTTCTTTACAGAGAAAAGCGTCGTGCTTTCCAGTGCTCTACTTAGCACAGACACACTAGAGGAGCTGCTAAAAGCGCTACTGTGAAACAGCTTTCACTCCAAAATCCATCCTGCTCACATCTCCTGTGACTTCTCCCGCTATTGGCTCCTTCGAGTGTCTGCATTTCTCTCTTCAAGATCATGATTTAAAGAGTTTGAGGCCGTCCAAAATCCCCGACTAAACTTCAAAGAGAGCAGACACTTCCTCAGGCAGTGCATGAGACAGGCTGAGAGCTGGGGGGGGGGGGGGGGGGGAGAGAGCAGGAACACCGTCTCCCTGAGGGTTGGCGCACCTTATATAACTGATTTCAGAGCCGTAATCTTTGACGCAGCATTGCCACTACATGTGAACTTTTGACTCCTGGGCAAACGGGGATGTGGACGACAGAGGAAAAAGGCATCTACAAGCAGATCAGACCCGGGTGTGACAATGAAATGCTTCTGATTGATCTGCTGGTAAATATTTATACATTGAGGCAAACATATACTCACACTCTAGGCCTGCATTTTATAACTTTAGTAACTTAGGAAAAGACCGTGTGTCTAGAGGAGTCCTAGCCTGTGGGAGGACGCTGTGCAGGACACTGCCAACACGTACCGCCTCTGCAGAAACTCTGTGTCTTTATAAGCTTACACTTTCTTGCAAAGGGGGAAATGCAACTTTGCAGAGTTGATAATTCTGTCAGAATGAACAATGTCAGGAGGAATAAATCACAGTGATCACTGCCTCTAGCAGGTGTTAGTGTACACTGTTATTAAGCCTAAACCTTTTATTAAGCTTAGTAACTGTCATGATGGGCATCTCAACCTCAACACAGGTTGGTGACACAGGCTTTTATATCTTTTCTTAAATAGGTTAAATTATAGCACAGCAAAAATATTTTGAGAGAAGAGATGAATGCAGAATAAGTGGAACCAACAGCAGACGTAAAGCAGAAGGCGCATGTTGTCATCCAACATCACTGCTTCATGTGCACAGGTCGTGCACGATGCAGCGATGCCACAGGCTGTAAACAATGTGAGAGGGTAGTCGCACACAGCTGAGCCAAACTCCTTAGTGCTAACATGCTACACAGCTCACCAGTGTTTACTTGTAGTCTACAGATGGATCTTTGGTCGTTATCCTCGTCTAATTACTTCTGACATCATATATTTGCATATTTCTTATAACCTAGGTAAGAAGTTACACAAGTAATTTGCATACACACATAAAGCCTACACTTTAACAATGGTGCTGATTTGTGCATTTTGTTCTTCCCCACATCTAACACCCTAAAGGGAAAAGTACAAACCACCGTGACACACACTCGCTGACTATGCCTTTAAATATGGGTCCTGAGCTACATGTGGAAACCTCCTAACTCTCATTTGAGGGACTTCAGGTTTTGCCAGATGCTAACTGTTTGTGCGCCCTCTCAAAAGGTTTAACAGCCGACATTTAAAATGGCTGGAAATCAAACCTCTGTGTTACGCATAGAGGATTTCAGCTGTTTGGTGCACGATGTTATAATTAATCTCCTCAGCCTGGAGAAATGCCTGTTCTTCAGTATTAATGACGGTCGGTGGAGCACAACATGGAGCAAGATGACGACCCTTTCAAAGCTCAAATGTTATTAATATTCACATTAATTAACAGTGCAAGGCTCTCATGAATATCCACCCGTTTCTTAATATAGCATGGATCAGAGAGCAGTGTGCAGGAGGCTGAACAACAAACAGAGGAGGACTTCATGTCAGAGCACCTCTGCAACTTGGCTCATAAGGCTTTTAAAAGATAAAATCCATGCTGTTGGACCTGGTGACATATTAGGATGTGCATATGTAATAGTATATAGAACAGAAATGCGTTTACACTTGGTCTAAAGGGCTGTCTGGTGCCCATGGCGGCCATGTTTAACCAGACCTGATCATCTCCCTGTAGACTTGGCGACCTGCTTAGCAGTTATCTTCTTCACTTGAAGTTGAATTTTTTGGGACCCTGACCTCAAAACTAGGCAGTGAAACCAAGCAGTGCATTTCACTGTGGCTCAAACAGCAGCACTCCACTGAAGGGACCTATGTACTGGTCCATACTGATCTGCAAACTGGACAATTTGCCAACACACAGCAGCTTATCAAACTATCTACTCATATGTCAGTGAAACTGGACATACAGCCAGGTGACAAGTTAAAAGGAATAAATGAAGAATACCTGACTGTAAATCCAACCAGCAGGGTCACTGATCAATCAGCTGATCATTGTCCTGATGATCTGATTGACCAGTTTGTCCCCAGAATGTCAAACACTGGGAAAAAGTCCCACTGTGACTCTCCAGAGCCAAAGGTGGCGTCTCCACACGTCTCATTGTGTCCAACCAACAGATCCACAGAGACTCAGCTGATTCTCATGTCTGACAAAGAAAAGCATCAGCTCCTCACATTAAAGAAGGTGGAACCAGAACATGTCGGTGACTGTTGCTTCTAAATAGCTGAGGTTCATTTTCTACCAGTGAACTGACTCATGGCTGCAGCTCTAGGTCACTGAATGACTTCATAGCGGGGTCGGACACAGCGGGGTCGGAGACAGCGGGGTCGGACACAGGGGGTCGGACACAGTGGGTTCGGACACAGTGGGTCGGACATAGTGAGGGTGAGGACGTTTCCTCCTCCGACAGAGGAGACATGTCCATTCCATCTGAACATGCTTTTTGAATTTTTTTCCTCCTGTGTACTTTTTAGCAATTTCTTCTTGAAGTGGAAATGCTTTATGACATGCACATCAATGCAATTTAAAAAAAAAATCCAATTTCCACTTTTTCAATTACTCTGAGTGTGAACTTGCAGGATGCAAAGAGCAGATGTGAAATGCAACAGTGACCTCAGGTGGGCAAAGTTGGTCTCTGCAGCCAGTAAATAGAAACAATCAAGCAGTTGATGTATTTCACCTGCTTGGACAGGAATGGAAAACAGTAGTTTAACTGACGCTGTGAGGCTCAACATGAGTAGATTTGGTAGTAAAATGTCACTAAAGAGCAGCTTTAGCTTACAAAGTGCACTGCTCATATTTATGCTGGTATTTGGTGTGTTGAGGGACCATGGTGATGCTCAGGTGAGCTCCCATCCTCTTTGTTAAATCAGCTTGTTTTGTAACTATAGCTTAAAACAGTTGTAAAATAATGAGGTGTGTTGCTTTGCTCTGTTTGCAGATGGACCGGCCAAAGAGGGTCCGGCCACGGTGGGTCGGACACAGTGGGGTCGGACACAGAGGGGTCGGACACAGAGGGGTCGGACACAGAGGGTCGGACACAGTGAGGGGATCTGGTTTGGAAGGAGGAGGCTTCTTCCTCCAACAGAGGAGACTTGACAAGGCTCTGGAGACTTGGTCCTGCTGGGCGCTGGGTGATGGTTTGTCACCAGCTGTATCTGCACCACATATTTTCCTAAACCTGCCGTAGGAACCAATTGTCCAGCCATTAATGACACCAGATGTGGCTGACAACTGAAGAGCTTGTACAGTTTTCTTTCCTGTTACTCTTGGCTCAGTCTCTCCTAGTCTCTTCCTCTCTCTGCTCCTGTGGAGCCTCCATTAGTTGGTGTTACTGTTGTCTGACACTCCCAGTGCCTGACAAACAGCACACACACACACTTACTGTAGCTAAAGATGGCTCTGGAGCATGTGGGCCTGTCAGTGTGATGGAGTAAAGTGCTCTTCTGTTCTCTATGCCTGTCTTTTTCAGCCCTTTGAGCCGTCCTCCCATTTGTCTGCCCATTGAAGTCTCTCTGTCAGTTCTGTCCGGCCACGCGTCTCTTCAGACACACAGTTAATCTGCATTTAAGTCTGGTGCACGGTTTGGTCGACTGTGTGAAAGTTTGAGGCGGATCAGTCTGTGTGTTAGTGAGTTTGCCACGTTGAGGTTCTGCCTTTTCATTTGTTGAGTCAGTAAAGGCTCACTGACACCGAGCAATAAATCACCGACAAAACATCAGGGATCTCAGTTACTGTAATATAATAATATGTTCTACAAATTCCCAAAACACTGTCTGATTCCAAAAGTCCTTATGGATTTCACCAATTTTAGTCCAAATCTGTCCTCGGTGTATAGTCGGTCCAAGCTGAGCTCACAGACGTGACAGATAGATATTCTGTTTTAGATTCAGCCTGATGTCATTGTCTCTGTCTATAGCAGGAAAACATCTATAAACCGACTTTGGAATCGGAAGAAAGACACTGGCTCCGTTTGGCAGTTTGCAGAGGCAATGCTAAAGGGAAACCACAACGTGTTCATGGAGATCAAGGTGTCTGCATTCTCTCACAGGCTATTTGCATGTAGATGAAAAGTGTTTAAACGTGTGAGGAATTTGGCCCAAAAGAAAAGTGTGAGTAATGCTCAGTGTTCACCGGCTGGTTGAAGGACACTTAGCCAATGATGGCTGTTAGAAACCGACCTCAGCCCATTCAGTCATGAAAGCTGATTGTGCAACAGTATCTGTAGAGCAGACTGAGGAAAAATCCAGAAGGTCAAGAGGAAATTTCATTAAAATTGTCTTTAGAATTTGGTTTAAACTGCTGAGAAAATTGCAGGTTTGATTCATACAAGCCAAAGTGCATGTTCACATTGAGAAACTGGTGACTATCAGATCAACATAAAATGAAATACCGTCATTTCCAGACTATAAGCTGCTACTTTTTTCGCTTCATGCACACACCCTCATCATGGAAAACACACAATGAAATGCATATGATGCAGCTTTCTCGATCTGGCTGTCGAAATATCTCATGTTACAACGTGGACACCTGCGGCTATGTACAAACTGTTTTTTCGTTTTAAATTTAGTGGGTACGACTTATATTCAGGTGCGCTCAATAGTCTGGAAATTACGGTAAAAGGAGTAAAAACCATTTGATTGGCAGGTTCTAATTTTACATGAATCTCTACAGTCTAAATGCCAAAGAGTGTAGATTTAACCTACGTGCCTAATCCTGATCTGATCTGCTCTGTGATGTGCTGACAGCACGAGACAATTCGTAACGCTGTCCTACAACCTGAAGACACACCGAGCACAAGGGGCTCTGCTGCTTCAGGCACTGTGACATACACTATCTAGTGCAATGTAGGAAGATCCACGAGTCTGAGAACAGATGCCTGAACACTACACAGGTTTACAGACATCTGAGACAATGCACACAATCACAGCTGCCACTCTCATGTTCTGCTGGCCTCTTGTTCATGTGCGACCTCTCTACTGGCCCTTGAGGAGACGTGCTACTGCTTCACTTTGGTGGGTCGCTCACGGCCCTTTGCACCTCAACTCCCTTCCAACAAAACATGGATGTCAGTTACCCGGATGATTGTTGTTCTGGTCTCGTAGAAGAAAGGAGGATCAGCCTGCTTCTTATTCTATGTGCTGCAACTGCTACCAAAATCTGTCAGTGAACAAAACAAACCTCAGACCTTTCAACCTCCAGCAGATGCACACAAGGTCGTTCAGAGCAGAGAAGGTTTTTCTTTGGTACATTAGGTTTTATGTTGGAAAGATCATCTGAGGTGACAAGAGCCTGTGTGACAACACTAACCATTACAAAGCAAAATAACGACAGCAGGACCATGAGTAAGAAATGCTCTGACTGTGATAAGCACCAGTGTTTCTGCTACTTGTTGTACTTGACTCTGTGGAGACACTGGGGTTCAGCACAGGGTGCTAGATGGTACCCTGCTCCTGTACTTCAAATTCAAGCACACAGAGTTAACCTGCTACTACAGCAGATGCCTGTGTGGCTGTTTCACCAGAAGAAATGAATTTTCACCTGGTCTTCAGATGTTCTGACCAGTCAGACGTCACAGAGGTAATAACCCTGACATCCTGTGGGTTGAGGTGTTCATACTGTGCTCTGTGGCCTTCACCTTCTCTCAGCCTTAGTTACTGCGTCCCAGCATTTTTTAGTTTTTCATGTGACAAAGAAGAGCCTGTACTGAGCCTCTCTGTGCTGAGGTGTTAATCTGGGATCCTTGACAACTCTCATCATCTATTTCTTCCTCTCTGTGGTTGCTGGCTGCAGCGGTGTGCGAATTCACAGTGCAATAGTGGTGTGATTGGATTCAAGTCCCTCGGCTGTGTCCCTGGCTCTGGGGAGTCATTTGTTTACCTGCACAGCTCAGGATCAAGTGACTTCTTCAGATGAAGTCAGATGAAGATCAATTGATTTGTCACTACAATAAAACCATGGTGAGGCTGGATTGATATTTCAGTCCTGTAGTGACAAAAATCCTGATGAAGAGGAGGAGATCTTTCTACATTTACTCAACAATTGTTCTGTACAAATGGTTTTGCATATTTCAACCCTGGATCAGTGCAACTTGTTAGCAGACAAAAACAGGCAGTGAGAGTGACCTTTGACCTTTGACCTTCGCCCCCAGGCGGCAATACTCACTTGCTGCAGGTCCACTCCTCCCTGTGCCACTGAGAACAGGGGGTGAGAGCCAAAGTCTGAAGCCTCGAACACCTTCAGGCGCACAGAGAGACACAAGCACAGTCAGCACTCGGGTTAGAGCTCCACACTCATCAAACTTCAACTTGTCAACAAGGGGGAACAACCCAAGAAACCACATCATGTCCCAAACCCCTGCAAGAACCCGGTGGATGCATTCAGTAAACAGAGATACGAGTTCAAGGATAAAGCTGTTTTAAAGCCTAAAAATCATGAAGACCTTTGAATGGTATGCAGTCCACTTCTCTGTATAATATTTTAGTCAGGGCATGAACTTTGAAATGACTGATCCTCTGTGCTGTGCGGCGGAATAAATGAAAAAAGATAAGAAGTTCATTAAGGCTCCTGTTTATCGGCAGGTTGAAGATGAGCTAGAACAAAAAAGAACAGAAGGAATAGTTCACTGATCCCTGAGGGGAGACCGTCACACGGCAGCTCGTACACACAGTGAGATGACAAAAGGTGTGGTGGTGCTAGTGCAGCGTCGAGGGAGCCCCCACGCGGCCGAGGGAGCCCCCACGCGGCCGAGGGAGCCCCCACGCGGGCCACACAGCAGGGGTAAATCATGTCTGGGTGTCAGATTTGATATGAACAGGACAAAACCTGACCTTTCTGATTTGCTCTCTTTTACTGGGCAGCTACAGAACCACTAAAGGACGCCCCAGCACAGAGTCCCAGAATAGCTCCACCTTGACTCTCTGGGTCTCTGAACTCTCCTGGGGGGATGAACACCGTTCTTCCAGCAGATGTTCCCTCATGTAGCGTTTTGAGGATGATGGAAAGTGCACGGTATTAACACACCTGCACGTGCACACACTACCTTGTTTTACTGAATCTTTCTCATTGTCAAGTTGATTTTACTTTTCAGATGGTGAGACATAAGGATGGATTTTAAGTTGTGAACGTGCTGTAGCTCCAGTGTAACGTGCTCTCAGCATCTGGGACAGTGATTCCACTGTAGGCTATCGTGACAACTTGGAGCCTCACAGCGCTCACCCACAAAGAACCAAATGTCCCAGACAACAATGCAGAGAGACGTCCAACCACGGGCGAGTCGATCTCCAAACAATGTCTGTCACAGCCCAGTGATGTGTGACCAAGTACACAGAGATCTGTTGCTCCTCTCTCTCAGGGAAAATCATCCATAGCTTGAACAGAGCAAATGACAACCTGCAAACTGCCAAGCGCCAGTGCACTGCTGAAGATGACCGCACACAGCAAGACTTCATCAACCACCAGAGCACCAGAGTTCCTGTTCCTGGAAACCTTTCAAAGATTAACGTACTTCAGGAAACCTACTGGGAAACATCGTTAGAGATGCAGGACTCCGGTTTTGTGATACTTGTGCAGGAAGAAACTAGGTCAGGCCATTTGACTCGTCCATCTCTGTCTCCTCCCTCTGAGCTTCACTGTTGTCCAGAAACTGTTAAGACCCGTCTCTGTCTCCTCCCTCTGAGCTCCACTGTTGTCCAGAAACTGTTAAGACCCATCAGTGACCACTCTGCTGCACCATCACCACACCAAACACACACCGTCCTGTTGCCACAAACACTTAGTAGAGACCAAGTGTGGGTCAACCCACCACTGAAAATAGTCCCCGACAAATGTGTTACAGCTACTTTAGGAAATCACTGATTGTTCTTTATAACTGAAACCATATATTTGTGTGTTTATAGATTTATGCCTGCAGTAAAATAAAACTGGGCTTGGACACGAGAGCCACAGACACTAATGTGTGGTTCATGTTTATTATACAAATTTAGACTCAAACATATCGCACAATGCAAACAGTGAGCCGTTGGAGTGGTGGGACGGCTGTGATGGCTTTAACTAAATCCATTCTTTAGTTTTAGCTTTGAGGCAACAAAGTGACTCCCTATTTCCATGTGACTACAGAACAGTGTGTAACAAAGTTTTATAAACACACCATCTACAAAACAATGTCCTGAGGTTTTCCATATTCATATCACTATTTGCATTTACACGGCACCCATCAGGTCTTCTTCCCGAGGTCTCTCGTTTCCACCAGCAAAGCTTTTCTGGGAGAGTTTGTTCTTATGCAAACTGTTGGTGCCACTAAACAGACTGTAAAGCTGTGGAGGAAGATTTGTGATTTTGGCCAGTATAAAAAATGTATTTACCCTAAATGAATGGAAAGTCAGAACTGGTGGAACGACCCATCAAACTCAGCAACAAGTCTCTGGTATTTCTCATGTTGCTATAAATCTGTTTACACACTGACACTGTGGGGACTTAAGGGGACAAACACAGGTCACAAAATGTACGTGTCACGTCTCCTCAGTTCCTCTCTCCTCGCATGTGGGCGGGACTAAGGCATGAGGAAGAGATGCAAGTGAGGAAACGTAGGTGCATACTTGAGGCTTGTACCCAGTGTGAAGTTTCCACGAGGACTGAAAAGTGTGTGTGAATAAAAGGCAAAGCGAACATGTGGGCATTTTCTATAGCATTCAAATTGCAAACCAAAGCAAATTCTCTGACAATAAATTATGTATCAGCTCATTGTCCATTCCTCATCAATCCATCCATCACTTCTTCCCTCCCTAGATCGCCCTCCATCCAGCCATCTCTCCAACCCATTAATCCGTCCACCCGTGCCTCTCCACCTTTCACGCTGCCGTCTGTCTCATCCATCTTTCCCTTTATTCCTCCAAATAACTACCACACCGTCTCACCTTCATCTTCTTTGCCTCCCTAGCTCTGCATGACTTCTTAAACTTCACCCATCATTCTTCTTCCATCTTATAGTCTGCTGATTTCACTGTTTTCTGATATTGTGATTGCTTATTATACGTTTTGGGCTCGGTCATGAAGGCGGCTAAATTACTCTACCTGGTTTCCTGCCAGCAGCACAGTCCCCGGGGTTGGGCTGGGTCGGTATGGAACAGTCGCTCCCTTTGGCGGAGACTGCAGACATGGAGGACATGTAATGGCAGACAAAGGAGAAGAGAAGGTGAGAATCGAGGAAGAATGATCTGATATTTGACTTGTAACAACTACAGCTCTGTGAACCAGTTCGATGGCTCTGTTTAGACTCTCACAGCATCGTGGTCTGGTTCAGTAAGGAAACAAAGCCTCAGTGACCTGAGACACGATGCAGTTCTTTTCTAAAACGATGATCTTTGACCAATGTAACTTCCAGGAGACAAGAATGAGTCATTTAGGGAATGACTCCTATCTGTGCAGAGGAGCCAGAGCTGTTCTGCCTCCAGGCAAAACGATCCGTCCTCACTGCAACCGATGTCCTCAGGCCTTAGTATTTGTTTGCAAGGGGGAAAATGTGGCTTTGCAGCAGAGATGATTCTGAACTGAACCGTCTACAGCAGCAGTCACAAATCAGACTTTAATCGCTCGTGCAGGGCCTCGTAAAGACATCCTGCACGCAACTAAGGGTCCTCGGGGGGGACTAAAAATTTTATTTGAACATAGTCACATTCCTGCACCCGCCCAGCCATGACGAAGGACAAGTCAGTTTAATTGAATATACAGGGTCTCGTATCTCATTGATTCACTGTGATCTTATTTGTTTATTATGGCCTATTTGTTTCAGACTATAACAGTGATGTAGTATTGGACTGTTTGGGTTGTTTACGACAATCCAGAAATACATTTTTCCACCTATACAAGAAAGTTTTATTTATTTTATTTAACCTTTATTTTACCAGGGAAATAAATCCCATTGAGCTTTACAACCTCATTTGTAAGGGAGCCCTGGCAGGACAGCGGCACTAAAAAGTAAGTAGGAGATGACCTGATCAGGGAACATTACTGGGGTGACACGGTGCTGCACAACACACGCAAGACGGGGCACCAGCGGAAGCTGGTGTATAAAACGCTGATGAGACCAGTTACCCAGAGTTTTTAATTGTCACATGTACTGAAGGCCCTGAGGTCCAGTCTATATGTTCACGGCCAGTTTCACTCTGCAGGTTTATATTTAGGATGAACATTTTCTTCATGCTACCACTCACTTTTATCTGGTCCGTCTTCTCTGGCCAACACTGAGATGTCCTGTTCCTTCTCCAAAGATAAATCACAGGCTGCTGTGACTGTTCAAACTACACGTCAACTGTGTGTTTGATGCAACAGGGAGACATCACAGAGACTCCCACTAAGCAGCGTCACGATTTCATTTTGTTGCACTGTGTCATAAAAGCCGAGCCGCTCTGTCGTTGGATTGTTTCTCTGTGTGAGTTGCTCATGTGGCTGAGATGGGGGAAGTCGCTGCTTCCCATGCTGCGTGCTGAGTGGTTTTACTGCACACGAGCTGTCTTGAGGTCATATTCATCACGCTGTGAACCACAGCTGCTCACTACACGCCGCTTGTAGGAGCAGCTCTCGGATTTGTCGTCTAATGATGCTGTTTAATGATGGCCTGTCGGTGCCCCGTTTAAATATGAATTTAAGTTGCATAATCAAATGCAGTAAGCCGGTTCTGTTACATCCTGCAAAACATGCACGCTTCCAATTAAACTGTGGCGAAAAAACTATGTTTGTAGTGAAGGAACTGCTGCACTCACATTAACTCAAACTGCAGTCTGGTTTCATGAAGGTGAGGCGTTCCTGTTGCTCACTGAGGTGACTGGGCTGCACACAGCAACAGAAACACCTGTGGCTGCTGTGGAACTGCTCATATCGTTGAATCAAAGCCTATTTTAAACGGTTTCAACAAACACTGTTGACTTCACTCATCATACTTTTCATTTTATGCCACAAAATGTCCAAATGAAACGTATAGTAACACTGGTTTTAAAATATCAAAGAACAAATTACATCCACAACATTTTTCTAAATACCAGCCGTCGAAACATGTAGGCCCACGAGTAGCGTCTCCACCGCTCATTAAATCTGTGTCAATTAGTCAATAAAAACTCTAAATATGTGATGACAACCTAAACTAAAACCTAATAGAAAGGAAAGAAGATCAGCAGCTCCTGATCACTAAAGCAACAAACAGATAAACTGTTCTCACTGCAGCTGCACAACTTACTCACACAGTCAGCTCACTGGAAATGTGATTTTTATTATTAGTTTTATTGATTTATCTTGATCAGGCGTTTCCTGGGACACAACGGCCCATCGGAGGGCAAACGTAGATGAAAAGATCAAACTGAGTGAATGACTTTAGCTGAGGTCAACGTTTTTCTTTCAGTCCGCTCTCCGCCCAGACTAAGCTGCTGGGAATTCCAGCGAGCTGCTGGAGCCTTTGATTTCACTGTTTCTGCTTCTCATCTTCAGGACGTAGCTCACCTTAATGATGCTGCCTCTGATTACTTATAATACAAGCATGAATTATAGATTTCAGCCAGATTACTGGAAAGGTGGACAGTATGTGATTAACACACTTGTGTGATGTTAATTGAGAGCAGGCAGGTAGACCTCACCACAGGTTTCTGGAACAACATGAATTTTTAAAAGATTTCCTCTGCAGCTCTGCTCACTGCTGCTTTTAGATTAGCTCCAGGTTGCATCAGAAAGAGCTGTGTTATTGTTTATCACTGGGCAGGGTCATAAAAAAGCCTCCTGGAGGAATGAAAACTGACTGAAGCTCAAGTTTTGTTTCACTTAATTTTGCACATCGATGATAAAACCTCCTTGAATTAAGGCTGTAACTTAAGGTTACTGTGCTGTGTTTGATGGGGCATGTAGCTTTTTGGAGGGAAACTGTTTAGATTAATCAACTAATTGGTAAAACAGCTGATAGATGAAGAAACACTGTACAGTTATTTTACTCATGTTAAACCTGTGTGTATGAACGCGTGTGACCGAGGTCCTTTGTTTTCTGACAAAGCCCAATGAAGATTTCTGTGAAATGGTTCTTGAACTGCTCGAGAGCTGTTATTAAGCCCCCCCCACCTACATACCTCTAGGATTACAGTGCAGATGAGTTTAACACACTGGATGATGGCGTCCTGGCTCCCTGATATCGTAACCTCTCTCTCTGTGGAGTTGGGGAGGAGGTCACCTGCCACCTGCACCTGTGCACCTGTTGTCTGAACACACACACACACGCACACACACACACAGTGATTCTTTATCCTAAAAGCTGCAGGTGAAACAATGATGAGTCTGTAAGAAGAAGTTGTGTTCATAGTCCAGATCACGTCTTAGTAACATGGTGTCGCATTTGAGGTCACAATTTTATGCCGTTTAGCAAAAATCCTGGAGTCTTGTCACATTAAATTCAATAAAAGTTTTAAAATGCATTTGGCTTCTTCAAACCCCGGTGACTCATGTTGCTAAGGAAACTGGCGTATAAGTGATGACGCTTCAGCTTTGAATGACAAGTTGCAGCCTTAGTTTTCAAGGCCCTATCTGACGCTGCGTTTCTATTCTTCTTATTATTCGGTCTTTTACTTTTAATTATCAAAAAGAGAAGGCCTGTGAGCTTTTTGATTAATCCCAAGGTTTCAGTCTGACAAAGACATTTGTGAAAGAATTCTAGATATGAGCACTCAAAGCAGTTCACAGACTACAAGCAAACTGCAAACACTCACCTCTCTGATCTCCTTGATCTTAGACCCGCCTTTGCCGATAAGGGAGCCGCACTGGCTGGCCGGGATCACCAACCGCATGGTGACTGGAGGCTTGCTGGTCACAGTGCCGCTGGCCACCAAGGCTGTCAGGTCCTGAGAGAGAGAGATGGAGACAGATGGATTCCCACTGACAAGCCTTTTAGTGGGTCTGTTCCTCAGGCTGTTGAAGAACTACAATAGACTAGGCAGCGCTCAGAGCCAAGGCAGCTCAATGTCCCATAATGCCATTCCACCTGAAAGCAACATTCCCTCATCATCATTAGCTTCAAGCTATTCAAGAAAAAATGTTATTTCACTGGTGGTGGTGGGAAATCCTGATTGGTTTAAACAAGGTCAAGAGTTCCGACATATTTTTGTCAAGCTCTTTCAGACCACGCCAGCTACGTACCCGCGAACACTTCCAGCCACACAAGGAGGTTTTGACTTGTATGTGTGTAGCAGAAGGTGTTGCCTAAAATTTTGGAACACAACACAAGCACGAGTGTTGTTTCACACTTTTCTGATGCTAATGCAAATACTGACACTGTTACAGAAGAAGAACTGTTTCTGGTGCCAAAACCAAAAAGCGAGCTGTGCATCAGTACCAGAGGACATCAGGGAACGTGCAGCGTGAGAAGAGATAAACCAGAAACATAACTGTACATCAAACTTCAGCTTGGCTGTGTGTGAGGCCAAAAGGATGGAGAGGAGCAGAACACAGTATGATGATGATTGTTAAAATCTGGGTTTTCATGGACTGATGATGCTCCACTGTGTCTTATGTGCAAAGCGGTACTAGCTAATGGGGGGGACGAGACCATGTCAACTCTGGCATCATACTGAGGCCAAACACACAAGTGTGGTGACTAAGGCGCAGGAGTCTGTTGACAGGACTCTGCAGTCACAGACTAACTGAGACACAAGCAGTGCAAACACCACCGCGACAGAAACATCAAGACGCCGGGCAGCCACCGCTTATATGGACATAAATACTTGTGTGACCCCAACATTCACAGCTGTGTTTACGTAGTTTACACAGTGTGAAACAGCCCTAAATGAACCTCTGTCATTTGTACATGTTTGTGAAACTATACTTGGAATCTGAGTTGTGCTGTGCAACCACAGAAATAATCGTAAAGTTTGATATCAGTCACTGTAACGCGCGCACACACACACACACACACACACACACACAAAGATCCTTCAGTACATAAAACTTAAGCTTCAGTGAAGTCAGAAACAAGTGACAGCACAAAGGCAGCTTTTATCATTTCTACACAGGACTGTGAATGTGCAGTGAAACAAAAAGGGCAAAGTGCAGGATGGAAATAGACAAAGATGTTCACACAATAACTTTGCTCTCGCTTCTTCTCCCCGATCCCTCCTGTGTCTGTCTTGCTTGTTAACACCCCAGTGGACGCTCGACACGTATCAATCATCATCACGTTGCATCCATGGTTTTATCTCGTCATCTCTGGAGCAAAGCAGAGTGCTGCATTGTGGGATTTCTAGAATAAAGTAGTGCACATGCTATAGACAAGATGCTTTTATTCCACTGTGGCACACTGTGGAGTTTGGGGCCGTGAGCAGCACCGTACCAGCGTCTCCTGCCTTACACCCAACATGTAGCCCAACATCTAATATGGACACAAAGTGGGTACAACACATTTACCTTTATCCTCCTCATTCTGCCTTGTTAATCTTTTTTTTTTATATGCTCAGTAAAAGAAAATGTCCAGGTTCTGCAGGGCAGTGAGGGAAGCCTGTCCCAGCAGCTGAATCCCTCTGCGAGGTCAGTGATCCAGCCAACGGAAGGTTCGTGTTGATTGAACAGACAACTTCCACACTTGCCTGTCGTTCCTGTAATTCCAATGCAGATCACAGAGTGTTCCTGCCCTGGTCAGTCGTCTCGCTCCCTCTGCCCGTCACTGGCTCCTTGACTTGTCTGGTTCTTTTCCACACACACCTCCTCTCTTTGTGTCTTACTCTGGTATTCTCTGTGAAAGCCTAATGATTAGACAACGCTCCAGTCAGGACAACAACTAAATAATGCAGAAGGCTCTGAATGATTTGGTTTCTTATGAGAATGTGATGCAGTTTGGCTCACAGGGTCCAGTCTCGCTGGTTAAAGTAAAACAGTTTAGATGTTTTGCAGCTGCGCTAAGAGACAAACTGCTGCTTTCCAAGCACTGCAGATGCACATGGATGTTTGTCTCCACTGTGAATCAAAGAACAGACAACCTGAAGGTTCATGGTCTGAACCCTGCTGGACCAGAACAGGACTCAAACTGCTGTTCTTTATTAGACACAAAAGGCTCCTCTCAGGCTCTCTTCCTTTTCTTTGTTCATTCCATAATGTTCTCTGTCTTCCTCTTTTACAGACCGTCTCCACTTCAGCAGCTTAAATCCCCTCTTCCTCTTTGCATTGTTCTCTCCTTCGCCCCATTCTTGGCTAAATCTCACTCTCTCTCTTTAATTAACTCGGGAAATAAATAGCAGCCTAAATCACCTGGTCTTAATGGATGATTCAATCAATTAGGCCGAGCCGGACTTGGAGCCTCCCTGTATTTGAGATGTAAATAGCAGCGCTGTCTTGTCTGGGCTGTCCATCACACGAATGTGATCTGAATAAAATGGCTGCCCTCGCTCCCCTCCTCTGCAGGAACACCCAGTGCATATTTTTTTACATCATCCTGTCATGTGGAAATCTCTTTTTCCTGTTTTTGTGTCCTCATCAGTAAGTGACAGTCTGCACAGTCCCAGACACGCAGAGATGGCTTCATGGTGCTAGATGCGCTACACTACGGAGATGCTAAACCACAGAAGAAGAAGAAGAAGAAGAAGCTTTATTTATTGTTATTGTAACATTGTGACACGTACACACAAATTATGTTTGGAGCCGAGGACTCCGGGCTGCTGCGTGCATACACGCCACCATCACGGGCAACGGGAGGGGGTTCAGTGTCTTGCCCAAGGACACTTCAACACGTGGACTGGAGGCACCGAGATTTGAACCTTCAACCTTCCGGTTGGGAGACGACTGCTCTATTCACTGCACCACTGTCGCCCCGCCACCAAATCAGGGGACAACAGTGAGATTCTCTTGATCCTGGTACAGATGATGGTTTTGGACACATGCTTTCCTGCAGGAGGTTAATGGTGATTATAAATGATTCTTCCAGAACTAAACATGTGCGTTCTACGTCACTGATGCCCAGTGTGAAGTAGTTTGTGTGTGGCTTTGTGTGTCTAAGAGGGTGCAGGGTTTGTTTTGAACACTGCCGAGGTCCCCAGTGTGTTTCTTTGGATAAATGAAGCCGTACTCTCCATCTATGTTTCTCTGCATTTGAAAGTAAACTGCAGCAGAGGGATGCGCAGCTATAAACAAGACGTGAAGTGCTACAAGTTTGGATCATTCTCTCTTCTCCTGTGTTTCACTCTCCATCCTCCATCTGTTTCTCATTACCCATTTTCTTTAATCCTCTCTGCTCTTCTTTCTAATGCTACTGTACCTTCATTTACCCCAGTATATCTCAGCTCTATTTTTTCTTGTCAGTATGTCCTACAGCATTAGCTTTCATCTTCCCTTTCTTCCTTCTTTCCTTAATGGAATCACTCGTTTGATAGCATTTCTAGTCATTTAGATGCTCATTCAGCCATTCTGCACGCACACGCACACACACACACGTGGTAGTCACTTACAGGGTCTGTACACAGACTTGTATTCATCTCCAGGAGACTTACCTTAAGCTTAACCAAAGCAGGCACTTGCTCTAACATTACACCTTGTCATTTTCATAAGATCTGACAAATTAGTTGTGGGGCTCAACCTCCGGTCCCTGCAAAGCAGCGTGTTCCGTCCCCACAAGTACATGTAAAGAAGGCCACACACAGCCCTACCTCTAGTGTGCCACAGTGAAACTGCCATGATGACGGCACAGCATCCATACCACAGGAGTCACACACAGGTGAACAGGTGCTCAGAGAAACAGGGTCATGCAGGGCACTGGACTACGTGGTAGATCTACCTCCACCGATTACTGGAGATATTGATTCATCGTCAAAAATGTCCACGTCACGGACCAACACGCCCCTTTATTAGAAATCAGTTTGCGATTGGACGCTTCAGAGGGATCGAAGGAAAGTACGTCTCATGTTTCCTTGAGTCCTCTCTCCTTGCATGTTTTCCTCCTAGCTTACGTGGGTGGGACTAAGATGCAAGTGAGGGGAACAGCAACCCATATAAGAGACTTGGGACCAGCGCCATGCTTTAGCAACTTTGTGTACAACTCTGTCTACAACAGTTCTATTTATAAAAAGAGAACAGTTGTTACATGGCGGATGTTTGAAATGCTTTGTGTCAGGCGCCACAGCCATCTCCACAGAGCGGTGCTGGAGGACTGAGGATGTCGGACAAGCTCTCAGGAGCTCTGAGACAGGAGTGAGGCCAGCAAGGAGCCACGCTGGCTGAATGGTAAAGCTCCCAGTGTATGTGCCTGCAGCCTTCCTCAGAGGTCAGAAATCAGAGCGAACTACAGAGCAGCAGCCCTGCAGATGATCTGGTTCAGTGGAACACTGACACCTGAACCTCTGCAGTTGAAGCTGCACACTCTCTGCACACTTTTCCTACCCCTTTCTTCTAATCTGTCTTTTTAAATCTCATTAACTTTTATAGCACCTACACTCTCCTCAGCTCCATCTCTTTCAGTCTCTTGAGTCTCTATAAACCCTTCTCCATCTCCCTTCATGTTAGTCCCTCCATCTCTCACACTCATTTCACATTTTTTAAATCCTTTCAGCAGCTCATCTCCCACTCTGAGTCTCTGTCACTCAGCCTCTATCCACTCCTCACATTTCATTTCCATCTTGTTTTCTTCCATTACGGTCACTAACATTTAAATATCAGCTGCCTGGATTTAATTTCTCAGCATGCAACATGTTCTTAAATGACAACAGTAAATTTTGTGCAGCCGAAACCACTTTGGTCTAACTTGGCCCATATGGAGCTCAACTAGTTCTCTTCAAGTTAATCAACACATAGATAGATAAAAGGACAACAACCAGGACATGAAGTCCAGCAACTCTCTGTGGTGAGACTGTGGTGAGGCCCAGATCAGGACCAGGGGATCGAACCATGTCTGAAGCTCTGAGTGTCCACTGGAGCACAGTGGCCTCAGTACCTGGGACATGGAAGAAGTCTGGAACCAGCAGGGCTCTTCCTGGAGTCCAACCAGACTGAGTAACAAGAAGGGTCATGGTCAGGGAGGAGACCAAGGACCCAGCGGTCCCTCTGACAGAGCTTCAGAAGTTGTCTGCAGAGATGAAGAAGCTGCCGGAGGACAAGCACCTCAGCAGCTTCTCCATCAGATGGGCCTGCACGACCGAGTGGGTGCACAGAA